TTAGAACCCCCTGTCCAGTTGCCTCCGCCTCCCTGCTCAGAGCTGATCATCGAGTACCATGGATTTCATTCCTATTCAGCTTTCTTCTGTGCGGAGTTAAAGGTATCCCCTAAAACTCCAGCCCCTCCTTTCTGGGCTGTCCTGTGCCCCCTGGGGTGCCTGCCCGTCCTCCAGTGGGGTCGTTGTGCAGATGGGAACACTGTGCTGTGCAGAAGATGCCACCCGCCTGCAGCCACACGGCCAAGAAGCCACAGAGCCCGGGTTGAAATTTGGACCCTCTGGACCCTGGATTCCTCCTCCTTACTCTTTGGTGATCCAGCCTTCTTGAGGGGAAAGTCCAGGCAGGCCAGTCGTGGGGGTCACGGGAGCCCTGGAAGCCAGGAGGCCCAATTTCGGCTCCCCTGTATTCTCTGGAACCCCAAACCTGGGTTCTTTTTTATAGTTAGTTCTTTTGTCACAAAATACAGAAAAATATGTTAAATCCTTTCTATACAATATTATATAACAAATAACTATAAAGCAAAGCCTGGTGTGATCACCACAGAACATCTGCAGCTCTCTGAAATATCCCCCCTTGCCCCCAATTACTCCCAAATCTAACCACTCTCCTGACTTTTGGGTATTTGTTGTTTTGATTTTCTGCCCAGTTTACAAGCAAGAAAGGCATCCCTAAACAAATAGTGTCACGTTGCTTGTTGTGAACTTGCTGTGAATGGACCCTTACTTGATGTGTTATTTTGTGTCTGGTTTCTGTCATTCAGGGTCACATTCTCAGACTTCACCCCTGTTGTATGTGTCAGTACTTTGGTCCTTTTTGTTGCTGAATTTACCTCAGTGTGTTTATCCATTCTGTTGTGGGTGGACACCTGGTCTGTATCCTGTTTTGGGGTTACTGTATGCGGCTGTGAACATTCTAGTTTGGAAAACAAATACACTCATCTCTGTTGGGGGCTGTGGAATTGCTGGGTCATGGTGCAGGCATATACTGAGTTTCAGTTCTTACTGCCAGTTTTCCATAGTGGTTGACCATTTGATACTCTAACTAGTAGTTGTTCCTTAACATCCTTGTCAACCCTTGACATTGTCAGTTTTTGTTGTTGTTGTTGTTGTTAATCCTTGCCCAAGGATATTTTTCCATTGATTTTTAGATAGAGAGGGAGGGAGGGAGAGAGAGAGAAACATCGATGTGAGAGAGACACCTTAATTGGTTGCCTCCCACACGACCCCAACTGGGGATGGAGATGAACCTGCAACCCAAGTACATGCCCTTGACCAGGAACTGAACCCACGACCCTTGGTCCACGGGCCAATGCTCTAACTGCTGAGCCGAACCGGCTAGGGCGATATTGTCAGTTTTAAAAATTTTAGCCATCCTGGTGAGTGGTTTTAACTTGCATTTCCCTGAAACTGACTACATTGTGTCTGTTCCTTGGGTGTGTGGGTGTCCTCTCCTGTGAGGTGCCCTTGTTCTTTTCACCTTGCCTCCGGCTGACAGCTGCAGCTCTGGCCCAGGTCCTCAGCATGCTCAGGTCCGGACACCCTAGGGGGCAGCAGCGAGTGGGGATGGGCCACGTAGGGCGTGCTGCCCTCCAGCCCGCAGCCAGGCTTCCTGCGTGCTGACACTCGGCCTCTAGAGGCTGGTCTCTGACCTCTGGCCTAGGCGTCCTCCATCGGCAGCTCCCAGGGAGCAGGCCATCCTCTTGGCTGAGGTGCCTGGTGTTTCATCACTGCAGGACTGCGTCACAAACACCTCATCCGAGGCGCCACCCTAAGTGGGAGGACAGGGCAGGATCCAGGCGGGACAACCGGGGATCTTCCAGTTCCTCCCCCTGCCCTTGCCCAAGCTACTGCTGGCTTCTTAGTCGCTGAAATGAGAATGTAAAAAGTGACCCTGGTGTGCTGAGCACTGGCCAGGGCCTCCACCACTGCTTAGCTGGAGGACCCAAGGTAACCAACTTTCCCTCTCTGTGCCTCTGCCCTACCCTAGGTGTGGCCACTGCCTCTCTGGTGGGTGGTTGGGAGCATTTAAGAGAGACTCCAGGGGAACGCAGGTACCCCGGTCAAGGCCACCCAGCTGGCAAGTGGCTCCTGGACTCTGCAACCCTGACCACTCTCGGTCAGACCTGGCTGCCTTCGCTTCTCTCTTTCCAATCATGGCAGCCATGGGTTCTTGGGGGCTGGGCTACAGGCTGAACCTCCGCACAGAGTGGGTGCTTTAGTGCTGCTGAATCACGGAGGCTCCTTGAAGGGGAGTCGCTGGGCCGGGGAGAGAAAGGGAGAGGAGAGCTGAGATTGGACAGCAGGCCCTGTCCTTTCCTTCCACATTGCCCTTCCTTTGGACTCTGGGTCTATCCCAGCCCTTGGAAACTATTCCACACTGAACTCCCTCCTGGGAAAGTGCGGCATCAGCCCGTGTTGGGGAGGAATTCCCTGAGTTTCCACCACAGCTGCCAGGCCCGAAGTGTTCTCCCACCCACCTCTCCTGGCCCCTGGCCTTTTAGCCACGTGGGCCCCTTGGCAGCTCCCTGCTCACCAAGCTCCTTCCTGCCTCAGGGGCTTTGTGCTTGCTATTCCCTTGCCTGAAATTCTTTTCCCTACATATCAGAACTCACTTCCTGCTCACATGTTCCCCGTAGCATGTGGTTGACATAGCTCCATTTCCTGCCATCCTTTTCCCTTCTCAGCACTTCTCCACCACCTGACATTGTTATGTGTGTCTTGTGTGTCTCCCCCACGGGAATGGGAGCTTCATGGACGCAGGGGCTGTCTCAGTGATGGTCTGTCTTTAGCACCTAGGATAGTGTCTGGAGCTTAGGACATGCTCAAAAAAATTGGAGGCGTGACTAGACTCGGGAGTGTTTCCGTGGCTGTCTGGTCCTGGGCTGGGGGTCTGTTGGGGAGACTTGGGTTCATTCATTGTGTACTCAGCAGATACTGTTAGTACTTGTAGGTGTGGGAAGAGTTGGTTGAGGAAGTGCAGAGAGAGCACCCCGTGAAGCCTCTGGGGTCAGGAAGGCTTTTTGGAGGAGGAATTGGTTCAGCTGAGACCTCGAGGAGGGAGAACTCATGAAGGTATGGAGGGTGGAGGCCAGAGGGAAGGGCCTCAGTGATGAGCCAGCAGAGTGGGGTGGGGAGAATAGGGATTGGGGGTGGTGCCAGCTGTAATCATTGTCATGGTCATTAGCCTTTACTGAGGGCTTTCTAGGTGCCTCTTGGCTCACTGGGAGAGACAGGGCCAGATTTAGTTGAAGGATAGCCATTGAATGCAGAGGCTAGGAGCCCAGGGAAGAAGGCTGTGGTAGGAGGGGAGGGGAGATGACAGGAGGTGACAGGAGGTGAGGGGAGGTGGGGCCAGGTGGGAGAGGTGGTCAGGAAGCTAGCTGGGTGATTGGGCAGTGGGGACCACCCTGGTCAGCGGAGTGGGAGGCAGAGGCCAAGTCCTAAAGGGCCTTGAATCCCAAGCCTAGGAGCTTGTCTCCTTTCTGAGGTCAGTGGGAAGCCACGGAAGGATTTTGAGTAGGGGAAGGACAGGTTTGGGTTTGAGGGTCCTCTTAGCTGCTGAATAGAGGACAGATTGGAGGGGAGGAGTCTAGGGAGGGAGGAGGTGGGTCGGGACCCTCTGGGAGAGGACATCGCTGGACTTGAGCCAGGCTCAGGGAGGGCTGGATGGAGAGACTGGTCACATTAGCAATTGCAGCACAGACTGGCGGGATATTTAGGATTGAAGGTCTGGCAGTCCTGGGTGTTGGGTTCATGGGGTGTGAGCCCATTGGGGTGCCTGTCATGCCTGCTGGGGAGGGGAGCCCCTGTTGCTGCTTCTGACCCTGCCTTTGCAACTTGGAGTTTAGAACGTGATTTCTCACCCCATTGTTTACTTCCCCATCACTGTTCATCTTGTCTCTCCCCTGCTTCCTCCCACTTACTTACCTCCTTCCCTCTGCCCGGCCCGGCAGCCTGCCACAGTCACATGCCAGGCAGTAGTGTGTCCGGCCCAGCAGCTCCCCTGGGGCACGAGCGAAAGCTGATGCCCACAGTGTCCCTAGAGCCAGCTGCCACTTCTCTGGGGGCCACCGTAGCTCCTGACCTGCTGTCCGCAAATAACCCCAGGCCAGGAAAGGCGAAAGGCGCCTTGGGCTCCGTGGCTCGTGGCTTCTGTCCAGGCCTGGGGCTCCAGGTAGGGGCCCAGCTGGTGGCTGCCTCCCGCCCTTCTCCCCTCCGCCCGCCTGGGAACCTGAGACAGAAGCAGCAGCCTCGGCGTCTGTCAGTCTATCAGCTGCTGGTCCCTGAGGACAGAAGCGGAGGTCTCAGGGAAGGGACCAGTGCCTTGATCGAGCCCCCAGGACTGGCCCCGGGGCCCCAGACAAGGGTCTGCACAGTAGGTTGCTTTCCTGTTCAAGATCTGGAGAACCTGAGACCGACTTTTCTAGTCATTTAATTGGGGCAAGGAGGGACCTGAGGCTGCGGGAGTAACATGGGGTGGCCTGTCACAGGGCAGTGGGGGTACTTGGTTTGCTAAAGATGGCAGGTTGTTGGCTGCCTGGTTTGGAAAGGAAAGAGTGTGTGTGTGGGGGAGGGTGGCAGGCAGATGCTGGTGGCTTTGAGCACTCCTTCAGGTGCCCAGGGCTGTCTGATTCATCCAGGTTACCTCAGTGCTGGGGCATGGGAGTGAAGCCAGGGGCAGGGCCATAGCCCCTTTGCATCTTCCCAGCCTGGAGTGAGGGTGGGTGGATGGGCTGCCTCTGCTCAGCGTGGGTATTGAGCACAGAGTCTGGCCTGCACAGCGTAGGGCTCTGAGGGCAGGGTTGTGTCCTTTCCCCCACCCCAGATTGGGTGCCTGGGACACAGTCACTTCTCCCCCCACACTGGGCTCCCACTCTCACTGGCTGTACTGTGTACAGAGTAAACAGCAGCCACAGGGGCTTCAGAGCCTGGAGGCCCCAGGGAAGGGGCTAAGACCCAGTTCCCCTCCAGCTCTGATGAGCTCCTCTCTTGTCTTGCAGATAGTGCTCTGTTCGCGGAGTGTCCTGTATGTCCTGCTGCCTTGAGCTGTCCCGAGCTAGGTGACAGCGTGCTACGCTGCCACCATGAACGAGGTGTCTGTCATCAAAGAAGGCTGGCTCCATAAGCGTGGTAAGGGGCTGCTTATGCCTGTGGGATTGTGCAACACACTCACTCACTCACTCACTCCTCCTGGCAGCTGGTTTGAGAAGGCAGAGGTAGAGTCCTTTAGCAGTAGTCAGGGCAGGGGAGCTGCCCTGGGGCCATGGCTTTGCCTGGGGCCATGTCTCCAGGCTACCTGGACACCCTGCAGGAGCCCCCAGGCCAGGCTTTGAGTTCTGCTTCTGAATTAGTGATTTCATTTATAGCCCCACAATACAGGTAAAGAAACTGAGGCTCGGAGAGGGGAAGTCACTTAGTTAAAGTAACGCACCAAGGTGATATTTAGCATTCATTCTGCAAATACTCATTGAGTGTGTGTGGTGTGCCAGGCTCTGGGGACAGTGTGGTGCCCTCATGGAATTTACATTCCACTGGGAGTTGGGGACAGACAATAAACACATAAGCAGATGTGATGGTAGGTGGTGATAAGTACTGTTGTGAAAAATAGGAACTCTGAGGGGAAAGGGGCTGGAGAGAGATGGGGAGGTCAGGGTAAGTCGCTCTGAGGAGATGACAGTGAACAGAGGCGGAGCAGGTAAAGGATGGGCCACACACATAGCTGGGTAAGGGTGACAGCAAGGACAAAGGTGGGAGTGTGTCTGGAGTGGAGAGTGAGGACGGGCGAGGGGAGGAGGTAACACAGTGAACAGTGATGGAAAGGGCCTGGGCCAGAACTCTCCAGGTGATTGGAACCCCAGGAGGTTGAGAGCCATGGCGTGACCTGATCTGGTTGTACTGGTGGTCAGCTGAGCCAGAGAAATGAAGTCATTACAGGAAAGACTAAGAGACTAGACCCCTAGGCTCCAGGCTGGCTGTCCCCAGAACCATGGGACTTACCCGTTCTGCTGCTGTATGCAGCCAGGAGGAAATGTGTGTAGAGCGTTGGCTTGTCCAGACCGAGGAGGAAGGGGCAGACCGTCCTGGCTTCCCATACCTTCCTCTAGGGAGGGAAGGTGTCAGGCCTGCTGATAGTTGCTCTCTGTGTACTTCATTCATTCAGCAAACATTTATTGAGCAGCTACTGTGTTCCAGGCACTGATCTAGGTACTGGGATTATAGCAGTGAACCAAACAGGCAAAATCCCCATTTTCGTGTTCATGTCTTACATTTAATGGGGAGGGCAGGTGGCACTGGAGTAGGCATGTGTGTTCAGTGGTGGTAAGTGCCATGGAGAAAAACCAAGCAACTTAAGAACGAGGGGCTGTGAGGCCTCCCAGTGTCCGTTGTTCTGAGCAGCAGCTGGCAGAGATGGGCGAGGCAAGGTGGCCCCTGCTGATTGCAACTGTTCTGGCACCTGCACTGTCCCGCCCCACCCGTTCCTGGTGGTTATAATAATGGCAGCCCCAGTTTACTTCGTGCCCACTCTTAGCTGCCCTGTGAGGTGGGCATCTTACAGACTAGGACACTGAGGCTCGGCAGGAAGACTCACCTGCTGGAGGTTCCAGCGAGGAGGTAGCAGCGCTGCATCCTTCAGCTTCTGAACCAGTGCGTCCAAGGCCTGGCCCACGTGCTGCCCTCGCCCGGCAAGGTCTGTTCAAGAAACCGGCGAAGTGAGAGCACCACTGTTGGAGTGGCTCATGCTGTGTGCTGGTCCCCTTTCCAGCACAGCCTCTGCCAGGCCCACCAGGCCTGGTCCCATTGTAAGTTTAGTGGCAGACAGTGTAGTGGGCCAGAGCGTGGCCAGAACAAACCCAGGTTCTATCCTAGCTCTTCTGGTCAGCAACTGTGAGCCTGGGCAAGTAATGGAACCCCTCTGTGCCTCAGTTTACTCATCTTTATTATTATTTTTTAGCTTTATAGCCTTTTTTATTTCCTTTATTGATTTTAGAGAGAAGGGAAGGGAGAGGGAGAGAGAGATGGAAACATCAATGAGAGAGAACATCAGTTGGCCGCCTCCTGCATGCCCCCCACTGGGGACTGGGCCCACAACCTGGGCATGTGCCCTGACCGGGAATCGAACCGGTGACCTCTTGGTGCATGGGTCAATGCTCAACCACTGAGCCACATTGGCCGGGCAGTTCCTCATCTTTAGAATGGGATTGTTTTGAGAATATTTTTTCTTCTAGATTTCTTTTGTTTTCTTAGCTTGTTACTGATGCATAAAACACTACAGGTAAGTGCCTGGATCACTTTCTCTGATCACCAGTGTGCAGATCAAAACATAGATCAAGACAGACCCTAGGAGCCCCCCACCCCTCCCAAGCAGTAACTTCCCTAACTTCCACTAGCATAAATGAGTTTTTCTAGTTTTGTTTTGCCTTTTGAAATTGAGGTAACATTTACATAACACAAAATTAACCATTTTAAAATGTACAATTCAGTGGCCTTTAGTACATTCACAGTGTTGTGTAACTGCTACCTCTGTCTAGTTTCAAAACATTTTCATCACTCTAAAAGAAAACCCTGAACTCATGAAGCAGTCAGACCCCGTTCCCCCTCCTCCTACCCCTGGCAGCCACTAGTTTGTTTTCTGTCTTTATGGATTTACTTATTCTGGACACTTCATGTAAATGAATCTTACAATCTGTGGCCTTCTGTGTCTAGCTTCTTTCACTTAGCGTAATGTTTTTGAGGTTCCTCCATGTTGTAGCATGGATCAGTACTTAATTCTTTTTTATGTCCAAATAATATTCCATTGTATGAATATACCACATTTTGTTTACCAAATGTTGATGGACATTTGGGTTATCTCTGCCTTTTGGCTATTGTGAATAGTGCTGCAGTGAACATTTGTATACAAGTATTTTTTGTTGTTGTTGTTGTTGTGTGCCCCTAGCGGGAACTGAACCCAGGACTCTCTGGTCCACAGGCTGACGCTCCAACCGCTGAGCCAAACTGGCCAGGCCTGTGTGTACAAGTATTTAAGTACTTGTTTTCAGTTCTTTTGGGTATGTACCTAGGAGTGGGATTTCTGGGTTATATATTCTATATAATCTAACATATTCTTTATTATTAGGTAACATGTAGATATAAATAATCTGGGTCATATAGTCCTTTTTGTTGTTGTTAATCCTCACCTGAAGATATTTTTTTTTCCGTTGAGTTTTAGAGAGAGTGGAAGGGGGAGGGGAGAGAGAGAGAGAGACATCGATTGGTTGCCTCCTGCGCAACCCCAACCAGGGCCCGGGATTGAACCTGCAACACTTCGGTGCATGGGATGACATTAGAGCCACACTGGCCTGGGCAGTCTAGGTCATATATTCTATATTTATAACCTACAGTGTATTCTATATTTAACTGTTAGAGGAAATGCCAAACTTTCCATACAGCTTCACCGTTTTATGTTTCCCTCAGTAATGCACAAAAGTTTCAGTTTATATCCTCACCAACATTGTTCTTTTTCTTTTTTTTTTTAAGTTGCAGCCACCCTAGTGGATATGAAGTGGTATCTCATGGTTTTGATTTGCATTTCCCTTAATGACTAGTGATGTTGAGCATCTTTTCATGTGCTGTTGCCCATTTGTATCTCTTTGGAGAACTGTCTATTCAAGTTCTTTGCTCATTTTATAATCAGTCTGTCTTTTTGTTGTTGAGTTACAAGAGTTCTTTATATATCTTGGATACTAAACCCCTTATCAGATATATAATTTACAAATATTTTTGCTGGGTTGTCTTTATTTCCTTGATAATGTTCTTTGCACAAAAGTTTTTAATTTAAATGAGTCTATTTTTCTTTTGTTGCTTGTATTTTTGGTGTCATATCTAAGAATTCATTGTCAAATTCAAGGTCAAGAAAATTTTTTAAATATTTTTTATAGCCCTGGCCAGTATGACTCAGTTGTTTAGAGCGTTGTCCCATGTACTTGAGGGTCACAGGTTCGATTCCCAGTCAGGGCACATACCCAGGTTGTGGGTTTGATCCCACTGGGGCACGTGTAAGAGGCAGCCAATTGGGGTTTGTCTGTCTGTCTCTCTCTCTCTCTCTCTCCTTCCTCTATCTCCAAAATCAGTGAAGAACATCCACGGGTGAGGATTAGAAAAAAATTTGATTTTTTTTTTTTTTTTTTTTTTAGAGAGAGAGAAATAGATTTGTTGTTCCACTTATTTATGCATTCACTGGTTGATTTTTGAATGTGCTGTGATGGGGGATTGAATCCTCAACTTTGGCATATCAGGATGACACTCTTACCCACTTAGCTAGCCAGCCAAGTCCAAGGTCAAGATTTACCCCTATGTATTTTTCTAAGAGTTTTATAGTTTTAGCTGTTACATATAAGTAGATCCTTTTGAGTTAATTTTTGTGTGTGCTATATGGTGTGAGGTAGGGGTCCAACTGTGTGTGTGTGTGTATACAGTTGTCCCAGCACCATTTGTTGAAGAGATTAGTCTTTCCCCATTGAATGGTCTTGGCACTATTGTTGAAAATCAGGTGTCTGTGGGGTTTTGTTTGTTTTTAACAATTCTGTTCCATTGGTCTGTATGTCAGTCCTTATGCCACACCGATTCAGATACTGTAGCTTTGTGGTGAAATCAGGAAGTGTGAGTTCTTTACTTTGTTGTTCTCTTTCAATGTTGTTTTGGCTGGGGCCCCTAGCCATTTGAATTTGAATTCCATGTAAATTTGAGGATTGGCTTTTTTATTTGTGCAAAAATGGATGTTGGAATTTTGATAGGGGATGTGTTGAATCTGTAGGTTGCTTTGGGTAGTGGTGTCATTTTATTTTAAAAAATTTTTTTCTTTTTTCTTGATTGATTTTAGAGAGAGAAGAAGGGAGAGGGGGAGAGAGATAGAAACATCGATGAGAGACAACATCGATTGGCCGCCTCCTGTATGCCCCCTGCTGGGGATATGGCCCACAATCTGGGCATGTGCCCTGACTAGGAATCAAACTGGAGGCCTCTTGGTGCATGGGTCGTCGCTCAACCACTGAGCCACACCAGCCGGACAGTGTTGTCATTTTAAATATATCGAGTCTTTCAATCTGTGAACAGGATGTCTTTGCATTATTTATGAACAGGATGTCTTTGCATTTTTTAGATTTTTAATTTCTTTTAACAGTGTTTTGTAGTTTTTAGTGTATCAATCTTTCACTTCCTTATGCTGTTGTAAGGGGAATTGTTTTCTTAATCTTTTTTGGATTGTTTACTACTGGTGTATAGGAACACCACTTATTAGCCTGTTCTTTTGCTGAATTTGTTTGTTAGTTCTAGTAATTGTTTTGTGGATTCTTTGTGATTTTTTATATAGAGGATCATGTTGTCTTCAAATAAAGATAGTTATTCTTTCACATTGGATGACTATCTTTTTATTTTTCTCTGGCTAAAACATCCAATACTGTGTTGAATAGCAGTGGTGAAAGTGGACATCGTTGTCTTGTTCCTGATCTTAGGGGAAGCTTTCAGTCCTTCATCACTGAGTATGATGTTAGCTGTGGGTTTTTCATAGATGCTCTTGATCCTGTGGAGGAACTTCCCTTCTATTCCTAGTTTGCTGAGTATTTTTATCATGAAAGGGTGTTGGAGTTTGTCAAATGCTTTTTCTGCCTCAATCAAAATGATCATGTGTCTTTTTTTCTTCCTTCTATTTTTTTTTTTTTTTTATCCTCACCCGAGGACATTTTTCCATTTTTTTTGTACAGATAGAGTGGGAGGGAGAGAGAGGAAGGGAGAGAGAGAGAGAAACATCGACGTGGAGGGACACATCGAGTGGCTGCCACCCGCATGACCAACCAGGGCCGGGGACAAACTGCAACCGAAGTACGTGCCCTTAGCGGGAACCGAACCCGGGTCTCTCCGGACCGCAGGCCGACGCTCTAACCGCTGAGCCAAACTGGCCAGGGCTCTTCCTTCTATTAATGTGTATTACATTGATTGATTTTCATATATTGAATCACCCTTGCATTTCTGGGATAATCCTTTTAATCTGTTACTGAATTTGAGGTTTTGCTAGTTTTTGAACTTCATATACATGGAGTCATTTAGTATCTAAATTTGAAAGAATTTAGTAAGTTAAAACTTACAAGATACTTAGGATAGTATGTGGCACAAAGTACCACTATAGTGTTATCTAATCATCATCATCATCACCATCACTGTCATCAGTACCAATTAATGGATAGCCCCTTAAGAGGAAACAAAAACTCAGAAGTGAAGTGACTTACTGGTGGCCACACTCTGGCAAATATAGCTCAGAGCCCACCCTGCCATCCTATCTCACATGTACTGTGTGCGTTGAGGGCTTGGCACACTCTGCACAGTGGGCTGATGATAAAGAGCATTTATTGAGTGAGTACCTGCGCTGTGCTGGGCCTAAGCTGGGGACTTTATGGTTGCGATCTCACAGTGTTTAACATTTTGAGATATAATTTACATATGATATAAATCAACCGTTTAAAGTGTACAGTTCAGTGGCTTTTATTTTTTTTAATATTTTTTTATCCTCACCTGAGGACATTTTTGCATTTATCTTGAGACAGAGTGGGAGGGAAAGAGGGAGGAAGAGAGAGAGAAACATCCATGTGAGAGAGACACATCGAGTGGTTGCCACCCACACGACCCCAACCGGGGCCAGGGACAAACTGCAACCAAGGCACATGCCCTTAGCGGGAACCAAACCCAGGCCTCTCTGGTCCGCGGGCTGACACTCTTAACTGCTGAGCCAAACTGGCCAGGGCCAGTTCAGTGGCTTTTAGTATTCAGAGCTGTGCATCTATCTCCACAATCAATTTCAACACATTTCACTACCACGTCCTGCCCACTCTCGTCCGCCCTCCTCTCACCCCGGTGCGCCTGTGAGGCACCGTCGCACCCTTGCTGTTCATGTCTACAGAGTTGCTTAGTTTGGGCATTTTATATAAATTGAATCATCTAATGTGTGGTTCTTTTACTTACCATAAGTTACGGTTCATCCATGTTGCAGCGTGTGTCCATATTTTATTTCTTTATTATTTTTTAAAAATATATTATTTTTATTGGTTTTTTTTTTTTTAGAGAGACAGTAAGGGAGAAAGAGAGGAACATTGATGTGATTGAGAAACATCTATCGGCTGCCTCCTGCACGCCCCCTACTGGGGATCAAGCCTGCAACCCGGGCATGTGCCCTGACCCAGAATTGAACTGGGATCTCTCAGTCCGTGTGACAATGCTCAGTCCACTGAGCCACACCGGCCAGGCCATACTTTATTTCTTTTTATGATCAATAGTATCGCATTGTGTGGGTGTGCCATGTTTTGTTTATCCATTCATTAGTTGGTGGACTTTTGGGTTGCTTTCACTTTTTACTATTATGAGTAATGTTGCTATGGACATTTATATACACGTTTTTGTTTCATCATCTCTATTTAATTTTTGAGAACTTAAACAGCATTTTATTTTGTTTAAAACTATTTTATTGAGAGACAATGTCCTATTCGTTTCAGGTATACATCAGGGATTTGATACTTATATACATTATGAAATGATCCCCATGATAAGTCTAGTTACCATCTATCACCTCACAGAGTTATTACAGTATTTATTGACTGTGTCCCCTATGCTATACTTTACATGCCCGTGACTTATTTATCTTATAACTGGAAGTTTGTGCCTCTTAATTTCCTTCACCTGTTTCACAGCCCATCTCATTTTCTTCAGCAGCCCTGTGAGGAGTGGGTCCTTGTAAATGTTTGTGCGTGCGTGCGTGCGTGTGTGTGTATGCGTGAGCATGCGTGTGTACATACATACACAGAGTGCTTGCATATTCATGGTTAGAACAAATAGAAGGAGTCAAGGGACACTTGGAGGGTGCAGCAACAGTTATACCCGTCCTGGCACAGTGTTTTGACATTTGATCCACCTGCACGCTGTACTGGTGAATACCAGCCCATGGGATTTGGCCTTACAGGGCCACAGGGCATGTGTGTTTGGAAGCCTGGGCTTCTCCTGGGACTGGGCCACGTGCTGGCAAGGATGGCTTACTGCTGGCCACACGCTGAGGCAGCTGGTGCCCTGGGGCACTGCAGCAGGCACCTCCCTGCCAGGCCTGACCTCTGCATCACTGGGCCCAGCCTGGCGCCAGCCTTCGTCAGCAGGGGCTGCCTCAAGGGTTTCTCTTGGAGAGGCACTCTTCTGCCCCCAGGTTCCCCTGTGAGGCTGTCTGCCCTGACCGCTCCCTCCCCCGCCTTGGTTCAGGTGAATACATCAAGACCTGGAGGCCCCGGTACTTCCTGCTGAAGAGTGATGGCTCTTTCATTGGCTATAAGGAGCGGCCCGAGGCCCCTGACCAGACCCTGCCCCCCCTAAACAACTTCTCCGTTGCAGGTACTTGTTGGGGCAGGTGGGTGGGCCAGAGTTTGGGTGCTCAGAGGACGAATGGCTGGTCTTGGGGGTACACGGGAGTCGGCTGTTCTTGGACTGTGGGCCTGACCAGGGCCTGTTTGCCTTGTTGCCTTCCCCTGCTTCACCTGTGTGTCGTTTTGGTGAGTTAAAGTGGGAAGCAGGGAGAAGCCGGGTTTCTGCAGCCTCTGGCCCCGGGCAGCACTGTCTCTGTGATCCTAGCTGCTGCTGGCCAGGCCCTGGGGTTCAGGCTGGTGTCTGGAGCCTCTGCACTCTGGTAACAGGCTGCTTCTCCGTCCCTCTAAACTAGAGGCATCTATGTCCTCCCTCTCAGCTGATTGCAGTGCCACCCTGACGTCCTCCATCCCCTCCATGGTGTCCAAAGTGGGGCCTTCCAGCTGGACCCTGGCCAGTGAACGCTTGGCAGGCCCAAAGCCCTTGCCTGGATCTTGCAGAACCATAGTCCTGCCTCCAACCCTCTGCCCCTGCTTCCTTCCTTCCCTGCTGACCTGATCGGTCACCACATCCTTGGTGTCCCACCTCCTAAGAACATTTCAAAGACACCCCATCTCCACTGTCACTCCCTAGCCCAAACCACCATTCTCCACCAAATCCCTTGCTCCAGCCTCTCGCCCAGTCTCACCCCTACCTGCTGTCTCTGGAATCCATTCCTGGTCCCCTCTCTGTCCTGCTTAAAGCTTTGTCCCAATTGTTTTCCTGTGTGCTGGTGACTGCCTTGGCTGCGCTCAGCCCTGGCTTCTCACCTGAACTGCCCACCTGTGTTGAGCAGCTTCCTCCTCATTTCTCCCTGGGTGTCCTCTAGGTCCTTATACCCACTGTGGCCCAAATTGGACATCTTGTTTCCCTTTTTCTCTCTCAGCTTTCCACTCCTTACCTCCATCTCGGGCAGGGCCCTCCTGCCCCCAGTCCTAAAGCCACAGGCTTCGGCTTCATCCTAGATGCCTCTCTCTGCCCCTCTTCCGGCCTATCTACCTGCCTCCCCCTCCCTTTGGCTCTGCTCTTAGGTACCCCTAGCCTTCCCCTGAGCTTCGGCCTCCATTCTCTCACCCTTTACAAGGCAGCCAGAGGGATCTGTCTAAATCTGTTCATGCCTCTTCCCTACTTAAGCCTTCCATGGCTTCCTGTTGCCCTCAGGACACAGTCCGGATCCTCACCTGCCCCTGAGCCCTGCAGGCAGGCCCCTGCCCATCTCTCCAGCCTGTCTCTCTTCTCCACTCCTCACACCTGGAGCAGACTTTGCCTTTCCCTAGTGTGCTGGGCTCTCTGGCACCTCTGGGCTCTGTACATGACACACCCTTCTGACCACATTCTCTCTTCCTTCAGGGTTCGATGTGGAGATGCCCCTTCATTCCAGAAGATGCCCCTGGGTCCTCCCCATCACAGCCCTGATCACTGAGCTGTCACTGTCTAGTTGCTGTCACACACACAGGATCTTAAGCCCTATGGGGCAAGTCCAGAGCTATCTATGTCACTGAAGTGTCCTCAGCACCATCTGGCACGGGGCTGGCACATAGGAGGTGGCTTGGGGAACGTGGGCTGCAGGCCAGCAGGGCTGCCCCCTCAGCCTCCTGTCTCTGTCCTCTGCCTACAGAATGCCAGCTGATGAAGACTGAGAGACCGCGGCCCAACACATTTGTCATACGCTGCCTGCAGTGGACCACAGTCATCGAGAGGACCTTCCATGTAGACTCTCCAGATGAGAGGCGAGTCTGAGCCTCTGTGTGGCTGCCCTTTGAGAGTGGCCAGGCCGAGTGAGGGGAAGGGGTGCAGATGGGCAGATTCTCCTGGACCCCTGCTTAGCAGTTTTCTGTCCCAGCCCTTCTGGTGTCAGGATCTTCCCAGCTGAAGCCGGGCGGAGCCGGGGTTCTCAGTCTTCAGACCTCGGACAGTCTGAGGACTGGAGGGTGCACTGGAATCACAGGCGGAGCTTGTTAACAGGATGGCGCTCGGGCCACATCAGGGCCTTTCACTGTCTAGAGATCTGTGGAGGGTCAGGGAGCTGTGTTGTTAGTGAGTATCTCCATTGATTTTGAGGCTGGCAGTCCAGAGACTTAATTAGTCAGAAGAGATGATACAGGTTTACCTAGTCTAAAAATCAAACAATATAGTAAGGTGTTTCGTGAAAGCTTCTCTCTGCCTTCTGCCCCCCGCCCCCCCCCCCCCGACTAAACTGCTCTTCTTATGTGCCCTCCAAGGGCTTCTTCCGGGGCACAGGCCCACTTGGATTGAGACCTTCACTCCCTATGCCCTTGTTTCTCCTTGTTACACAAAAGGTAGCATTGTATACACACTTTTCTGAACTTGCTTTTTTACTTAATTTATCTTGGGGGATCTTTCTGCTTCAGTCTATAGCAAGCTGCTGCTGCATTTTTGTTTTTCTTTGTTTATTGATTTATTTTTCTTTATTGATATTTGAGAGAGAGGGGAAAGGAGAGGGAAAGAAATAGAAACATCGATGAGCGAGAACATTGACTGGTTGCCTCCTCCATACCCCCCACTGGGGATCAGGCCCACTACCTGGGCACATGCCCTGACTGGGAATCAAACTGGCAACCTCTTAGGGTCAACACTCAACCACTGAGCCACACCAGTTGTGGCTTGTTTTGTTTAAACGGCTGCACTTATATACTCCCAAGTTTGTAGAGCGGTTCTTTTTTTTTAATCCTCACCTGAGGACACCTTTCCATTTTTTGTTCAGGTAGAGTGGGAGGGAGAGAGAAACATCGATGTGAAAGGACATGAACAGAGAACATCGACTGGCTGCCACCCGCACGACCAACCAGGGCCGGGGACAAACTGCAACCGAGGCACGTGCCCTTAGCGGGAACCGAACTCAGGTCTCTCTGGACCGCAGGCCAACGCTCTAACCACTGAACCAAACCGGCCAGGGCTGTAGAGCGGTTCTTTATGGATGGTGACTGGGGTTGTTTCCAGTCTTTGGCTCGTTACAAGCAACACCACAGTGAAGTACATATGTTTGTCTCATTCACACATGTGCTGTTAAATTTGTAAGATGAATTCTTAGATGGAGGCTTGCTGGGTTACAGGGGATATGTGTTTGTAATGTTGAGAAATGTTTCTACTAGACCATGTCTGAGTGTCCACACAGCATTGTGTTTTCAGACGTTTGGATTTTACCCATCTGATCAGAGGAAAATGGCACCTCGGGGTGGTTTTCATGGGCCTTGCCTCTGTGGGTAAGTTTGAGTTTTTTTCACGTATTTAAGAGCCATGTGGATTTCTCTTTCTGAACCATCTGTTCATGTCCTTTGCCTGTTTTCCTATTGGGTAGTCTTTTTTTTCCCCTCTCTCTCTGTTTTTATCCTTACCCAAGGACATTTTTGAATTTATCTTCAGATAGAGCAGGAGGGAGCGAGGGAGGAAGAGAGAGAGAGAAACATCGATACAAGAGAGGCACATCAACTGGTTGCCACCCACACAACCCCAACTGGGGCCAGGGACAAACCGCAACCGAGGTACGTGCCCTTCGTGGGAACCGAACTCTGGCCTCTCTGGTCTGCAGGCCGACGCTCTAACCGCTGAGCCAAACCGGCCAGGGCGGTAGTCTTTTTCTTAATTATTTCTGAAAGTTCTACATGTATTAGGAAGCTTTAGCCCTTTGTAATGAGTGGCAAATATTTTTATCCCTACTTTGTCTCTTTGGGCCTCTCTTTGAGAAATACTCCTTTAGTTTGTCTGTGGGATAAGGATTCAGCTGACCTTCTGGAGAATCCTAAAACAGTGCCATCCAAGAGACTTTTCTGCCGTGATCAAAATGTTCTATACTTGCGTGCCCAAGAGGGCGCCTGTGGAGCGTTGAATGTGGTTGGTGCAACTGAAGAATGAAATTTTTAGTTTATTTAATTAATTTCAATATAAATAGCCACATGTGGCTAGTGGCTACCCACTTGGACAGTGCATTTCTAGAGCATACACAAAGCAGTATCACAAGACGTAATATTGTGCCAGTAAAAGCCAGTTAAGACCAGTAGGTGCGTAGGACCTGGGTATTGAGCTAAGTGTGGAAGAATAGGTAGGAAGGAACTGGCCACAGAGATAGGAAGGAGGAGGCAACTCCAGGAAAAGGGGCCAGCATAAGTAGAGGCCTGGAGTGAGACAGCGTGTCATTCCAGGGACCATCGAAGGTTTTATGTCACCGAAGAATCAAGGGCCAGAGGTCTTGGAAGGGGAACGGTGGAGAACCTTGAAGCTGGTGAGCTCCGCCAGGGCCTGGGCTCCGGACAGAGGTTCCCACCGGGCTTGACAGGTGGTGAATCAGTTGGGGTTTGTCACAGGGTTGCTAAAAGGTTCAGGGGATGACAAACAGGAAGCCCTTGATTCAGCAGTACCTGGCACACAGTGTGCAAGCCTGGAAGAGGGGCAGTAGGAGCCGGCTAAGTGTTTTCTTAGGCAAGAGACCCACTCTGGTTGTCATTTTAGTAGGATACCATGCTCTTCATTGTGGGGAGGAGTCCCCTCTGACCGAGAGGTAGGGGGAGCCCCACCTCCCACCTTTTCTTAGCAGCTGCCGCTGCTCCTGGGGCAAATCAGCTGGGGCTGCTCAGAGACCAAACCCCAGCTTCCTGACCTTTTCCCCAGGGAAGTGTGAGCCAGAAACCCAGAGAAAGAGAGCCTGCTCTGGGCTGTCCTCACAGTCCCAACGCCTGGGGAGGGCCGACGGCCGCACTGGTGACTGGTCCTTGCCCTGGTGCTGCAGTGACCTGCTCAGTGCTCCCAGGAGCCTCTCCTGCCTTCTCCCGGGCTGCTGCAGGGATTCCCTGCCCCCAGCCTGCCAGCTTACTACCAGCACACATTTAGTGAATAAAGGAAGGTCTGGGTTCCTGCACCCTGATTCAGCAATTCAGCATTTGCCCTGTTTGCCTCATCTGCATCTTGTGCAGAATCTTGAACTTGTGTTTCGCCTCCTTAATACCTCAGCACCAAAGACGTTCTCCTGCAGAGTCACGATACCATTATTACACCTGAGGTGATTCTTTATCCTGTGTATTTAGTAACATCCTCCCCATACTTGAATTTACCCACTTGTCCTCAAAATGTTGTTTGGCAAACCAGGATTTATTCAAGGTACATGTTGTCTCTTTGATCTATTTTAATAGTTTGGTTCTTTTTCTTCCCCTCTGCCGCCCCATGATGTTGATTTCTTATAGACGAGCCAGGCTGGTAGAATGCCGCACTGTGGATCCGTCATCTTTTTATTTTTATTTTTTATCCTCACCCGAGGACATTTTTTCATTTTCTTTTTGTTCAGATAGAGTGGGAGGGGGGAGAGAGAGAGAGAGAAACATTGACGTGAAAGGGACATATCGAGTAGTTGCCACCTGCACGACCCAACCAGGGCCAGGGACAAATTGCAGCTGAGGTATGTGCCCTTAGCGGGAACCGAACCCGGGTTTTTGGACCACAGGCCAACGCTCTAACCGCTGAGCCGAGATGATGGGCTGTTCCTGTCATCTTACTGCCTTTTGGCACTGTTTACTTTGGTCTTCAGTGCCTGTATTTTCTGTAAACCTGGAATTAGGTCTGGAGCAGGCTTGGCCAACTACAGCCCAACCTCCTGTTTTGTAAATAAAGTTTTATTGGAACAAAAGCACCTGTGGCTGCTTTTCCCTGCTGTGGCAGAATTGAGCAGTTGTGACAGACCGTGTGGCCTAAAATATTTACTGTTTGGCGATTTATAAGTTTGCTGACCCCGGTCTTGGCAGGAATGCTTAATAGTGTATTACATTACTGTGATCTTTTTGTTAATCCTCACCTGAGGATATTTTTCCCATTGATTCTTAGAGAGAGTGGAGGGAGGGAGGGGGAGAGAGAGAAGCATTGTTACAAAAGAGATACTTTGATTGGTTGCCTCCCACATGCCCACCCCCAACTGGGGTTGGAGATCAAACCTGCAACCCTTTGATCTGTGGGCTGATGCTCTAACCATTGAACCAAGCCGGTCAGTAGGTGATTTTTTAAATGTAAATCTTATAATGTTTCTCTGCCTAGAACTCTGAGTGGCTTTTAGTCCCACCTGGTGTAAACTCCAAATGCAGTGCCATATTCTACAAAGCCCTACGTGGTCTGGCCTCTCCAGAGTCATTTCCTACCACTAGTTTCTTTACTTAAGCCACACTGGTCTCTTTGGTGCTCCTTAAACAAGCCAAGCACACTTTCTACCTGAGGACCTTTGCACTTGCTGTTCCCTTTGCTTAGATCTTGTTCTCCCAGATAGCATTATGGTTCTCTCCTTAACTCCGTGAGGTTTCTGCTCAGATATCACCTTCTCGCCCTGGCTGGTTTGGCTCAGCGGTTAGAATGTCGGCCTGCAGACCAAAGAGTCGCAGGTTTGATTCTAGTCAAGGGCACGTACCTCAGTTACAGTTTGTCCCCAGTCCTGGTTGGGGTCGTGCGGGAGGCAACCAGTGGGTGTGTCTCTCTTACATTGGTGTTTCTCTCTTTCTCTACCCCTCCCTCCCACTCTATCTAAAAGTAAATGGAAAAATATCCTCAGGTGAGACTTAAAACAAAAACAAAAAAAAATATATATGTGTGTATATCACCTTCTTGGAGTGTTCTGGCCTGTCCCTGTGTCTGTTACCCTTACCCTGCCTTCTCTTCTTCACAGCTCCTGTCTATTTATATGTGCTGGAAACATAAGTAGGAGTTCAGTCAATGTTTGTTGAATAGCTAAACGAGTAAC